GATCCTTGCCCAAGTCATTTCACATGATGTTTCCAGATGCCGTTGGCGTGTAGACAATATTTCGTCAATAACTACTATAAATACACCGCAGCCACTTATATCCCTATCACGACGATAAACTGTGTAATTGGAAGGGAATATTTCACTATTCATAATATCGGGTGGAAGCCAAGATTCTGTACCAACAATGATATCACGTTTAACGTTGTCAACCATAGCATGGAATTGGTCTAAAGTTAACATTAAGCAGCCTTAAGCGACGGCTTTTTTGGGCGGATTGTGCAGACGGAAGCCTTGTGGTCTTCTTGGGAGTCGATGTTGAACTTGGAAGTCCTCTTGATGTTTGATATGATACAGAATCATCCATATTTTGTGCCTGAAAATGCATGTGCGCCAATGGAGAAAAACGATTTGATGTCTCCATAAACCACAATCACAACATATCCATAGGCAGGAGCTATTAGCCAAGGCATCGTAAATAAGATCATTCATGCAGCATTTTGAGTGATACCAGCGACCACAATAATCGCACTGTATTCTTTGCTGGTTAGACCTCACAGGCTTGGGGCAAACGCCGCAAGGAAATTTCCACTGAGGTCCAGGGTTTGGATTTATATCACCGCAAATGAGCAGAATATAAAGGGTGAAAAACCTTGACTTGCACTTAGAATCCAAGATGGCGGAGGGCATTCGTGTTCCTTTCTGAGAATATACATTTACTCCTGCTACCCGTTCCAAAAAGGATCGCGTATCCGAAAGGCAGTTGGATCAGCTGAAACAGTTGTCCTGGTAAATGGAGCCAGTGAGGTCATTGGATTTGAGCAACACCATCAAAGTCACCAAAGAACACGGAGCTTAGAAATTTGCGACCGCCATTACATAGCGCCGCTGACTTTTCATGTGCTTGTCTATTTTCTCCGTGAATGAGGGGGATGCAGCATTTGCCTCATCATGACAACCTATAAGGAATAAGGAATTTTATGTCTCCTCCCCGGTTTACTGAAACACTAAATAAACCCCCCTTTACTGCCAACAGCCGAGCTTTGTTTGCTAGAGCGCCTGACTTAGGAAACAAAGAAAACCGAGTCTGTGGTCCGTGATTAAAAACATGGCCAAGTTAATGGCCGGTTTTATTCAAAACTGTAAAATCATCTTATCAATGTTAAAATATGAAATAATGTTTACGAATTTATAGGTCTAGCAAAGGTGAGGGCCAGAAGAAAAAGGCAACTAAACTACAAGAAATACCTAAAGCAAGTGAAAAGGGTGGAAGATCGGGGCGGAGGAGGGTTGATTGCTTGTTCAAAGGATAAGCGGGTCAGCTATTGAAGATTCGGCTTGATATCAGCTTTCAGACCGAGAGGATTAACGAAAGGTTACACCCTCTTATAAAGGGTCTCCGCGAGATAATGAGATCGAGGCTAAGTGAATTTACTGCGAGTGGCCTTATCATAGGAGCTCGTTATTATTACCCAAAAGTAATTTTACTTTTCGTCTTGTGATTCTCATGCGATCGTAAACCATTATGAATAATTCGAAGTTCACATTCGAGAGCCTCTAAGCCTTTGAAGCCACAATCGACCCCACCCCCCCCCAAAAAAAAAATCCATGCATTGAAGAAATTGGAAGGGGAGACAAAATTTCTTATTTGGTTCTAAATAAACTCATTTACTCAGTCACACTTTTGAAAACACGAGTTCGTTTTAAAAGCATATACTTACATTTGTTTGTTTGGTTGCCTTTCTTGTTGACACTCCTGGCGTGTTCTTCAATCACCACCACATGACTGAGGTCCACCCAATGAGCTTGCCCACTTATAGCAGCGGTATAGGCGTGCGGTTTTTCTGTGTCAGTAAGAACCCAGAGTTTTTCTGCTTCTTATCGATGAAGCCAAAGCTGAAATTCTCAGCTAACGGCTCACCAGGAATAATGTTCTTCTCTGCCTCTCTAAATTCGGAGCAAGTCTCACTTACAGAAAAACCCTTTACTCTGGCTGTTCTGTATGAAGATTTTTTGTTCCCACCGACTATTCTGGCATCAGTCGTAAAATGATGACGAGTGTCGTTTAGAAATTGTCCCTTCATGTTATAGACTGATTTAAAATCTGCGCGTGTTGGTGTGTGCAATGTGAATTGCTAATTTACGCTTTACCTTTTTGGCTCACGGGCCTGGGTCACAGTATGATTCTATTGTTCTAGCTGGTGCTGTTGATTACTAAATAAGCAGAAGTGGAGCGAAAAAGAAACCCCCTGCAAAGAATTGGTTATTTTTTATGAGGTAGAATGCTGGCAGTCAATCTTTGATTCTAAAAAAATATATGTACGTTTATATCCATATATTAAATGTGTTTACAGAAAGCCTAAAGTCTGAGGCCAGATCCTCAGGGGGGATAAAGTTAATAGTATATAACAGTAGGTAAAACCTTAAATTTACGTCAAAATGTAACAGAAGGAAACCAACTGTCTAAGAATAATAATAAATGAATGGACAGTAGTTAGTAGCTAGAGGACATAATAGTGGTAGCTCTTTCCTACATGTAGCCCTTTTAGATGAATCTGTATTAAAGATCAATGAAATTTGTTGTAATTAATTTTTATACATCGTCTGAGAATTTTTTCTTATCATTTAGTAAGGGGGTGTCCTAGATAAGCCTCGAAAGGCTTCTGAGACTTCCTGCTCATTACGGTAACTACAGTGGTAAATGAAATGTTGTAAGTAAATGACCTTTGTCAAATAAATAAATAAATACATGCCATTTTTAATATTATTATACTATCATTAGCTCACAAATAAAAACCAAATCACAATGCTCACCTAAACTTTTCAATTGCTCAACCAGTAAGGACAGATCTTCCACTGTTTTTCCCAGAGCTGTTTGTTGCCTGTACTGATCTACTGAGAGCAGACCAACTTCCAATCTCTTAAGAAAAATGTGGACCCTCAACATTTCTCTGGAAAGATAATCTCCTCCCTCTTCCACTCTTTCATAGTCCCCCTCAATTGTCATAAGTTCAAACTGAAAGACAGAATCCCTCATTGCAATGAGGTAGGGTAAGGAATCCTCGAGTGAGAAATTGTCTAAAACAGCGGTCTCTGATACTCTTTCCAAAGGCATCTCATGTTCATTTCGGAAGACATATCTGTTAGCAAATAAGTCATTGGCCCAGTTTGTAGCAGAACTTGGATAGATGTCCTTTGGTTTGCAAGTCATAGAGACTGTAACATCTCTTGGAACAAATTTGTCACGTCCTCTGTGTTCCACCTCTTTCATGTCATTAACCATTAGTATTACTCCGGGTGCGACAACCAGCAGGATCAGGATAATCTGCCGATGGGAGTTTAAAGTGGCTATCAAGTCCAGTGTTCAGCTGAAGTGGAGTATGGAGTGGTCTTGAAAATCCCTCTGATGTCCCACATCTTACGTATGCTTTGTCATCAATAGCACGCCTGATGACTAGACTCTTGCCATGTACAGCACTTGAACTAGCAAATGCAAATCGGGTGTAATTCTTAACATGTGCTCGATTGTAGTGAACATTGATGTGCCTCTGATTATGTTTCTTTTGGGGACGAAGATGTGCCCAAAGATTCTGCCGACGATGTTGTTCTGCCTGTCTATAGCGTTTGTTTCTGCACTTTTCCCAGGAGCGTACGGTTTCCTTGGACTTGATTGCTTTCTTGCCAATTTGCTGAAGACGCCTGTTTTTTTTTTTAAGTATTTCATATAAGAAAAGGAAACTATGTGCTTTCTGATTGGTTGAAAACCATTTACATAACTCTATAGAAAGATAGAAAGTTGCTTTGTGCTTTTGTTTCATAAAACAATAAAAAAGTCCAAACATATATGTTATAATGTTACCAAGTGCACGTTACTGTATGATTTCCAAAATCAACTTTCAGATTTATAATTTATTTATAATTTCATTAGTTACCTGTTTGCAATTCGCAGCATCTCTTTGGACTGAACTCGTTGCTCATGCTCAAGGTAGGCTGTTCCTTTATCTCCCCATCTGCGTGTGTGAGCCTTCAATTGTTCCTGTAAAACTTCATAAACTGCTTGCTCTGCTCTACGGTCAATCCTGTAACACCTCCTGCCTTTGCCTTTCTGTGACAGGAGGTTCTGTTTCCACTTGTGGAAAGCCTACGAGAAATTCTCTTTTTGACATCCTTTTTAGATCTACCCTGGAGTCTTCTCAATCTTTCTCTTTTCATCTCGATGTTAAAGTTTCTACTTTCCACTTCTTCATCATGCAGCCGGGCTCTTTTTATGTTAATCTCTCTCTCACATCTATGAAGGTCTGTTTGCAACCTAGATATAACAGCTTCTAAACGGCTCTGTGCTTCACTCTCTGTTTGTTCTTGATTCTTGTCCACTTCACTTAAAAATTTCTCGACGGTTCCTCTTAATTTCTCTGTACGCTGGTTTTGCAATCCCAATATCAAAGCTAGTTGTGTTGACGAGAACATACTTGAAAGAACAAATGTAAGAATGGCACGGTCTTTTGAAGATGACATCAATTTCATCAGAGCTGAAATGTGAGCAGCTAGTTTAGTTTTAAAACGTTCACCAGTATGCTCTTCGTTCGACGGACTGTGCCTGTTCAAAACAAGATCCAAGCTTCGACACAAAGACATATTGTTCCATGGCAGTTCCAAAAGCAGGATGAACGTGTGGCCACCATTGTTAACAATCCTCGCCAAAAATCCTTGAAACACCCCTTTCCCCTGTGCAAAGTTGAGATGACATTTCAGTGTTTCACTGGCTACAACAACATTGCAAAAGGGAGGGGGACGGAAGTGGTGCGAGAATGTTCAAAGTGTTTCAAGGTTTTTGTCTAAGATTGTCTGAATTGGCGGGAAGATTTTTGACCATGCGCAGAATATGCAAAGTGACACAGAAAAAAATTAATCTCTAGGGCAACGCGTGGCTTGTCTGGTTGTTGTGGTTGTGTGAGTGTGCGGCGAGGGATGATAACTTGAGTAAATTTTTTTTTTTCATAATGGCAACTTCTGAAGTAGATTATAACTGTCAGTATGAGAGTATTGAAGAGAGATCAGAGGAGGAAAGTGAAGAGGGAAGTGAACAGTTGGAGGATAATGGTTGTTCAGAAGAGCTCGACGTGGGATCTCAACAGAGGCTGTTGCATCGTGAAGTGCGTAGCGTGTATTTAATTACTTACAGTCAAGCCGACCTTGACAAATTTCCAACGAGAGACAGTTTTGCTAGAACGGTTGTGCAAGCATTCGATGAGACAAGGAGCGGGTTAGCTGATATTGTGCAGTGGGTTTGTAGTCAAGAGCGGCATTCTTCAGGAGGAACGCATTACCACATGGCGGTAAAGCTATCGCATGCACGCCGATGGTTGCGAGTAAGAAATTATCTCGACGACAACCACTCCATTCAAGTGAATTTTTCGTCTGTTCACTCCAATTATTATAGCGCCTGGAGATACACAACAAAAGAAGATAGCGAGTATGTTCAGTCTGTAAATCATCCCGATTTGGTCAACAGCGCCCCACCTCGAACACAAGAGGCCAGTGTGACAACAACGGAACGTGGTGGAACGAAGAGAACAGCCAAGAAAACCAGAAAAAGGAAGGCACCCCGTCTCAGTATTTTCGACGTGTCTAAGCTAGTCGTAGCAAAAGGAATAAAGTCCAGGCTAGAACTTCTTGCTCTAGCCTCTCGACAAATGAAAGAGGGAAAGGAAGATTTAGCGCAATTTATCGCTAACAGAGGAAGTAAAGTTGTTGACGAGGCTATACAAGTAGGATGGGAAATGGAGGAAGCAGAGGAAAAATTGAAAAGGAAACAAATGACAAGGATGGAAATACTGCACAAAGCTCTAGAAGGTCCGTGTATCGCTAACTGCAATGGAGAGTGGTTGGACGTTGCAGAGGATACTCTCGCACGGAATAACCTATCAGGTGGGAGTTTTCAGAGTGCTGTACGCGAGCTACTTGAGAAAGGACGTGGCAAGTACCGAAACATTTTAATCTTTGGTAGTGCCAATTGTGGGAAAACTTTTTTACTAAACCCTTTAAATGTCATCTACAATACATTTACTAATCCCGCAACTAGCAACTTTGCTTGGGTTGGAGCTGAATCCGCTGAGGTTCTTTTTCTTAATGACTTTCGCTGGAGTCCACAGGTCTTGCCTTGGCACGATATGCTTCTACTTTTGGAGGGGCAGACAGTTCATTTGCCAGCACCGAAGTGCCACTACGCTAAAGACATTGTATTTGAAACGGATACACCAATATTTTGCACAGGCAAACATGAGTTAGTGTTCATTAAGGGAGGTTGTATAGATGAGAGGGAGACCGAAATGATGCGAGTAAGGTGGAGAATCTTCAACTTCTTTTCGCAGATTCCACACTGCGAGCAAAGAAACGTTCCACCATGTCCAAGATGTTTTGCAAAATTAATTCTCTGCTCTAACAATAACAATAACAGTTCGGCATAAGGATAGATAAGTGTTGAGTGAATTCCCAGCGAAGGATCTGCGAAGCTAAGCATATTCAGATAAAAGTATTATGCAACTTTAGAGTATTGCGTGATGGAGAGAGAAGTGTAAAGTGTAAACAGACGCTGGTAAACCTGACGGTTTACCATTAGTTTTTGCCTTTTATCGCATTTCGTATTTGTATTTCTCTGTGGAAAATCACTTTGAATAAGAGATTACTTATAATTCACATGAATTTTTAACAACAGCTTCAATGGCATCGTGAAATTCAGCCTTTTCCCAACGGTTAACCATAACATGTAATAAAGTAAGATTGTCAACAGACCAACTTCTATTGTGACAACGGTAAACCGTTGACCTTTACCGCACGTGAGTCGACTAAGGCAAAACATGCCGATAGATAGTTTCCTTTTTACGCACAGTTTTAGGGCATAAATGCTACACTTGTAGGTGCCACAAACGATTGTTACATGAAATTCTGTAATGCTTCTGTTGTGAAATACAAAGCAACAACAATTACATTTTGTCCATGTGAATTCCAAACTATTATCAGTGATTATTATGTAATCAGTTCAATAAGATAATTTTGTAAATGTACATTGCATTATTCCTTTGAAAACATACAGCTACATATTTAATATTTTAGTCTCTGTCCTTTTGTTTGTAGTATAAGTTGTATACGCCTGTCCATGGATTCGATTAAATTGTTTATTTTAGCTACTGGAAACTGAACAATTGTATCTTTCACTCTTTCTTTGAACTGGGTGAAACTCTCTCGCTCTAATTGTTTTTCAATAGCGCTGTCGTGCAAGTCGTCACTGACTGATTTAAACATGTTCTCTATTGGATTTAGATCAGGACTCCGTGGTGGTATCTTAAGCAACTGTGCGTTTACTCGTTGCAAAGCAATCTTTGCTATTGCTGAGTTCTGACTAGGGTCATTGTCTTGAATGAAGAGTCTTGTGTTTCCTTTCTTTGATTCCACAAACATTTGTTCAAAAGTCTTATCAATGAAAGACGCAAAAAAATTTCCCGTCATATGTTCATATTCTTCGCATAAAATAACTCCTACATTATATGAAATCGCCACTAAAAACTTGACTATCTTTCCTCCAGATCCAACTTTACTCCCTTTCGCTGTGCAATATTGATTGAGACCTTCTGATTTTTTCCGGTAGATCCTTCCAGTAGGAGCTCGTGCTTGATCAAGCGGGTTGGTCTTGTGTGCAAAAGCAACTCCGTCCAAGTAGAAAGCAATTTTTTGTGTCCATAACTCATTGTTGTACTCTTCTCTGACTTTTTTGGCAAATGAAACGCGTAAGTTCTTGTCATTGTTAGTAAGCAGCCCTTTTTTCCGGGCCTGCAGATAAAAGTATCCTTTGCTATTCAAAAATCTTGCCACAGTGCGAACTGACACATTACTTTCCGAGATGTTTGCCTCATTCATTAGTCGCTTGGCAGTAAAGTTACCTTCTGTACGCCTCAATTTGTGTAGAGCCCTTATAAGGAGTCTCTCTTCTCTAGATGACAACTTTCTTGGCCTTCCTCTTCTTTTGTAGGTGACGTTTGCCTGAGTTCGCGAATGCCTTGAAGCACTGTTAGATTCTTTTAACACTCGCATTACTGTTGCTGCAGATCGGCCGACTTTTCCTGCAATTTCTCTCAGTGAATACCTCTTTTCCACGTACAGAAATCTGATGAGCGCTCGTTCTTCAGCCGTTGTTTTCTTATTGTACACCATACTTACTTTCCTCACTTAACTATGTGACTAATCCTGACACTTAACCTTTATGTCTCAGTATAATTCAACTTCTTCTACGCGAGATTCCTGCGCCAGGCTGTACTTATATATCATTTTTTAGACTTATAATAACAGTTCCAGTATTTCTACGGAAAACTAGAAAATCAATGTTTTTCTTTCCTTGCGTCAAACAAAAGTTACAGCAACATTTACCACGCTATCGCAATCTTTCTCGACTATTCACGAAAACTACTTAACAATAACTGCCAACAACTGATATTAACCAGATGGCTTTTCGCAACTCACACAATCCTCGCCAAAAATCCTTGAAACACCCCTTTCCCCTGTGCAAAGTTGAGATGACATTTCAGTGTTTCACTGGCTACAACAACATTGCAAAAGGGAGGGGGACGGAAGTGGTGCGAGAATGTTCAAAGTGTTTCAAGG